AGTTGTTCGTTACGCAGAGAGAGTGAAGCCCCAGTTCCAGTTATGGATTCGAAGGTTCCAGTGACGTCTGGTTCCACAAATTTTAGAGCAGTTTGTTAGTGAAAAATCCAGTTAACTTTTTGATTAAATTTTAAAGTAAAGACAGACAATTTTTTAAATAAATAATTGCTTTTCATTAAAATTTAAAAATAGTAATATTTAATATTGTAAATTTTGGGTTTTGACTTTAGCTGTTACTGTATTTGTTTTCAGTTTTAAAATTTAATGTTAACATATGACAGCTAGCTTTATTATTTTTGATATTTATTTGTTTTGTTTGTTTAAAAAAAAGGTTAACCTCTGTGCGGTAACATTTGTAAGTTTTTGTAATATCTCCAACTCCTAGAGTTTGTAAATGGATGACATGTAAGTTTTTTGTATTTTGCGACTATTGAGGTAATATTTTTGTATTGTCTTTTTTGAGTATTCGTGTATTCTCTATGTTTTGTAACTGTTTGTGGTAAGACACAATAAATGTTAAATTTTGTTTTCTTAACATTTTGTTTATTTTTTTGAACTAACCCTTTTTGAGTTTTATTTGAAAAAGATATGTTTTTTATGTTTAATAATTATTTCCCTAGTTACAACTAGTGGTTGTAATAGGTATAATTAGGCACCTCAAAGTGGCGCCCTATATTAAATTACTAGAGGTGTTTCCTGTTTATTTTTATTTTGTTTATCCCAAGAGATTCATGACCCTTTTATTTCATTTTTTGTAGTTGCCCCAATCCAAACCCCTTCGGCATTTAGTTTTCCACGACCCCAGCTCTCCTAACAAACCCTGAGTGCCGTTCGGACAAGTAGCGATTATTTTGCTTGCCTTATCTTCACCTCCTTAGTTTAAGTCCCTAATTTTCTACCCCTTCTGTTATTACCCCATGTAATAGGGAAAATAGTTTCGTTACAATAATAAAGCGTTTTTTATTTGTTCTAAAAATATTTTATTTAGAGCTAAATTATCTATTTCATTATCAATCAATTATCAATTTCTATTTCATTATCAATTACATTACATTTACAAAAAAAGTCTACAACTAATATTTCAAATAGCTAATAATATTACAGTAAAAATACGAAATTCAACTATACTCTGTGTTAGTTTGATTATATAATGTGTTGTTTTAGAAACAATGAAAAATTCAAAACGCTACATACAAAACTTATATATACATACGAACTAATTTCAAACAGACGTTTAGATAATTCTGTTTTGCATAATGTGCAGAGTGAATATAAACTGAGCACAATGGAATTTTCTTTGTGTTGCGCGAAAGCACACTAAAAGCGTTGTCATTAGAAGTAATAAAATAGAGTTGTACAAGCAAAAGTTCTTGACTTTTAATAAGTTTGGATTCGAGTCTCCTGCTCCCCTTTCTTAGATTTTACAAACATGAGTGCCAAATTATTTAATCTGTAAATATTGTAGAGCGTTGACACTATACACACTTCCTATTTTACTTTGAGACAGCAAAGTGTTTATATGAGAAATAATTTTCAAATTTTCATAAATATATAATTCTCAAATTTCAATACAGATTTTCTTAAAAAAAATAGAATTAAAGTAGTCTGAGAAATTTAAATAATTTGCATTGCTAATTTAGAACTTCTACTTACTGGAGATATTGGTAAATTCCATCGTAAATATTATTAGCTTATGTCTATATATACCAACACATAATGGAAAGAGTTTCATGAAAAAAACTACCATAACGTCGGCGTCATGTGAAAATTGCGTAAGTCCACTTTTTAAGAAAATCCGTATTTTAATGCCATCTTGTTAGGCAGTTCGAACTTCATAACACTACAAAATATTTAAGCGATTACTTACTAGATGGTGCCACAAGATATGGATTTGAATGTTGCCCAAATCCGACGTTATCTGAAGCAACGTGAATTTTGCGTAAGTCCGCACATTCTTCACTGTGAACGTGGTTTAATAACGTGCATCCAGAATTATTGCATTTATACGTTTAAAAACAAGATTTTTATTGAAACAGTAATTGGAATTAGCTGTCAAATAGTTCAGGTAAGTAAGTTTTGAAAAAAAAGTCCATACGGGTGTGTTTTTTTTTGTTAAATTCTCTTAAAATTAGGCATGGGACTTAGGCATTTTTCAGTTTTCATTTCAAATGGAGTTACGCCATTTTCATATTAAAATGATTTGTTGGTTTCATGCACGTGTTGTGATTTTAGAAATAAAATAAAGGGACAACAGAACCAATTGTGAGTTTACTGACGCATTTTTGTTCTTCTTTATATTCTACCTCCAGATCATTCAATTTCAATATCATACGATAAGTTATGCACAAAGCCAAAGGTCCTATGTTTTGGGCTGATTTCTACGTATCCAGTACTTGGGGAGGGGGGTTTATTTAAAACCCGTGCATTTAATTTACGAGTGAAATTCGTATAATACAGTGATGAGCGTCTAATAACCGGCAAAAGATGGAAAACATTAGAATCTGTTAAATAAAACGAGATGAAACTAGTCGGGGTGGGAAATTTAGCGATAAAAACTTAAATTAAAAACAAAATTAAAAATCCATTGATCGTTTTTCACCTTTAGACGTATCGAATAAGTTTGGCAACTGCCACTATGACAGGAGAATTTTATAAAATGTGACAGTGACAGTTTGACTCCGATACGTCTAAAGGTGAGATACTATTAATATTATGTACATTTATAGGTTTCTATCGCTAAATTTTCGACTTATACTAGATATTCGTCAAATACATAATATAAATCAGACTTAAATATATATATATATATATATATATATATTATATATATATATATATATATATATATATATATATATATATATATATATACATATATTCAGAATGATAGAGTTCAAGAAGTTTTAAAATACTAAGCAAAGTGACACTTATAAGTGAAGATAAAGATGGTGCTACCTCAAGCCACCATAAAAACAAGCTAACAGTTATTACTGATGTCAATAAACCCCTTGGAAAATCCGAGCCAAAAATTGTTGTTTTAAGCGATGTTAGCAATTTTTCTTTAAATTCAGATTATTTATCTGATGCAATAAAAAGTTTTAAAGAAGAGTGTATCCAAGCCGAAAAAGCTCTTAATGTATCTAGAGAAGATTTACAAGAAAATATTGATCCCAACATAACGGGCAATGAAGATTTTGTCCCCGAAATCATAGAAGTAAATAACACTGATATTTTAAATGCCTTTATAGACATAGATTCTCTAAACAATGCCGATGTAACTATTGAAGAGGCTAACTACAAAAACAATCTAAGATGGGATAATATTTTGAATAGCGATGAAGAGAAACTAGAAATAACTAACAGTACAAACTTTAGCAATGTTTCTAAAGGCAACAATGCAAATGAAATAAGAAACTCAACTGGTTTTGAAAACAATATCGATATAAATGCCACGAAAAAGGAAAATTCTGGGTTAAATGATGACTCATTAGAAAAGAGAGTAGCTCAGAAGCAGAAAAAAATGTTGCTGCAGATGATATTAAAAAGCGCAAAAGGAAGAAAAACAGATTAAGCGACAGTCAAGACTGGGAGTGCAATACCAACAAGAAGAAGAGACAAGAAGGGGCATCATATAAAGGAAGAAAGGATAATAAATTTGTGGTGCAGAAACATGAAAGAAAATTAAAAATTAGGTGTTCGTATGAAGAAAGAACGTCGAAAAAAATCATTTTCAAATGTTATATTTTAAGCGAAGAAGAAAGACAGCAGATATTTCAAATGTTCTTTTTCTTTCTTTCTAGACAAGAAAAGGAAAGAGTAAGGGTGTGCAAAACCATGTTTTGCAACACGCTTGGTGTCTCTATGAGAACTATTACTCATTGGTTAAGTGGAAGCCTCAATTCACCAGAAACTAAAAAAAATGATCGAGTAGAAACTACAAAAAGTAATGATTTCGACAATAAGAAGCAGTTAAAAAATGATGAGAAAAAAAGAAACAGTAAGAGATTTTTTTAACAGCTTGTTAAAGCTAGAGTCTCATTATTGTTGGAAATCTTCTACTAAACTATATCTAGAGCCAAGCTGGAAAACCAAAGCTGAATTGTATGACTTTTACCAAAATGTCTGGTTAACAGAAAGAAAAACAGAACCGGCTGGATTGACCCTATTTAAATATATTTTTGAGGAGTCAAATTTATCTTTATTCAGTTTCAAAAAAGACGAATGTAATATCTGTGTAAGATATCGAACACAAAACGTTTCAGAGTTAGTTTATCAAGAACACAAAAATAAAAAAAGATGAGGCGCGTAATGAAAAAGACAAAGACAATGAGTCACAAATAATCAAGTTTTTACTATGGATCTTCAATCTGTTCTATTGTGCCCACAGTCAAACGTGCCTGCGCTCTATTATAAAACTAAATTGATTCTTAATTTGAACATCTTCAATACCTAAAAAGTACCATGGAACCAGATTACCATCCTTTCTATGATAGTCTTGAACATGATTAAGCTTAATTTTTGTGCGTAATTTTTATTTTTAATTAATAAAGATTTATAATGTCTAGCGTTTTGTTCTTTTTTTAGCGACTAATAAAATTTTTTTAATAAAATAATAGTTTTCTTTTTAAATGAAATTTGCGTAAGTCCAAATATGTAACGAATTTTTGTGTGATTTTTGCCTAAGTCCATTAAATTATCCAAATTAAAAGTAAACGATGTTTCTTTTAACATTCCTGAAATTATTTTTCAAAACTAATTTTAATTGATAAAAGAATGTAGAAAATTTGGGCTTGCCAAATTCTAATTTGCTACAACGTATCATGAATACTTTTATTATTACGCTGGTTTACTGTAAAGAACATCATGTTACCTATTACATTACATTTGTACCTCCTACAATTGATATATCAAGTTGCATTTATTATTTACCCTCCACAAGTTTTATGAATTATCTTGATTATATCACTAAGTATCTATGGGCTAGCTGAAATATTTATTTTCTAGATGAGACCTGGTTTGACACTCACGAAATAGTTAGACCTGATCATCAATATCTGTGAGCGATTTACTGGAGTGACAAGATTATCTTGGAACGGACTATAAATATATTTATTTTTTATATTTCTAACATTAGAGTAACTTATATAAAGAGAAGATTTTTAAATAGTAAAAAGAACACTTATATATCTAGGTACTTACTGTGTGACTCTAGGAAGTTCATTATCCAAATCATCAATATCGTCACTTGCTGCTTCTGTGACTGTGCTCGTTTGACTAACGAAGAACGCTCCTCTAACGCTCTCCCTTTCTCCTCTTCGCATCCTGCTGCTAGGCGGTGGGGTTCCTTTAATTAACAAACCGATTAAAATATTATACACAATTATTAATACATTTTTAACAAATGTATAAGAGTATGTTTCAATAAAAACAATTTTCCGCCAGCCTTAGCTAGCAGGTATGCATCCACTTAAAGTATATATTAATACTACGGTATTCTATAAATTTTATTAGTAAGGAAATAAGAAACGTCTGGCTGGCCTGGGATCTGGATTAACAGGATAGAAGAATTTCTGACAAAAATTTGAAAATCAGAAAAAATTGTAACAGAGGGGTTTATTATTCCTAAAATTAGCCAAATATTGGAGAAGGAAAACTTTTCATTTTCCTATAATCTGAATTTTTAGACACGCGTTGAAAGTGGCGAACCATAGATTGGTATAAGAATTTCCACAGTCAGGAGAAGAAACGAAAATAAGAGCATGGAAAAAGGCTTGAAGCTTGCAGGAAGACTTAAAATAAGGATAAGGAACTGGAGAACTCTGGACATGAAGAATAGTGAAGACAAGTGGTTAAAAAATCCTAGCTATGGGTCTACAAGTCCTGTTGTTTTTCTCATAATTTTTTATGAGTAACGTAAAATTATTTTTCCTTATCAAGTATCACTGTATTCGAATGAACTATCTTTCGGTAAAGTTGTCTAAGGAACGCAACTCAAAAATATTGACAAGATTATTTAAAAGTCATGTCCGATTTGGCAATACGAATAAGTTTAATGAAATTAAATTATTAAAAGGATTTTACAAAGGCAACAAAAAAAAAATCTTCTTAAGGTTCCATCTTCTAACGAAGGCTGGATATCAACATGGCAATTCTTATTTTACTTACAGCAGCTCTAAATAGTTGGCTAGAGCTCAGACTAAACCATTCCCTTAGATTTCGTAGCCAGGAGGTTCGTCTTCTTCCTACATCTCTTTTACCTTTTATTTTGCCCTCTATAATCAAACGTAGTAGCCCATAACGAGGACCTCTTAATATATGACCGAAATATTCAAGTTTCCGCCTCTTAATTGTCTGTACAATTTCTTCCCTCTTATTAACCCTATCAAGGACTTCAATATTGGTAATTTTGTCTACCCATGCTATTCGTAGCATCCTTCGATAACACCAACGCTCAAAAGCTTCCAATTTCTTAATCTCCAGTTGTTTCAATGTCCATGCCTCAGATCCGTAGAGCAAAGTTGTAAAAATGTAGCAGCGCAATAACCTTATCCTTAGATCCATTCTTAGGTCTCTACTACACAATAGATGTTTCATTTTTACAAATTTTGCCCTTGCTATTTCTATACGGCTTTTAATCTCTTGCGTTTGTTCTGCGTTTTGACTAACCAATGTTCCTAGATATTTGTATTTATCTACCCTTTCTATCTGGATATTATTAATATGGAGTGTCTCGTTGTCTTTTGGATGTTTTGTAATGACCATGAATTTTGTTTTCTTTAAGTTCATTTTAATACCATATATGGTACACTTTTCATTCAGCCGTTCCAGTATGTTTGTTAGACTTTGCAGAGTTGAAGTGAATATGACAGTATCATCGGCATATCTTATATTATTAATAATTTCACCATTTATTATCATTCCATCGTTACACTCTCCTAAAGCTTCTTGGAAAATGGCTTCGCTATATATATTAAACAGCAGTGGTGACAATACACAGCCCTGTCTCACACCCCGAAGAATTTCTATTTCTTCCGACATTTGATTTTCAATTCTTATTTTGACTTTCTGGTTCCAGTAGAGGTTCGAGATTACTCTGATGTCGCGGCTATCGATGTTTTTCATTTTTAAAATATTAATTAGTTTATTGTGCTGTACCTTGTCAAATGCTTTTTCAAAATCAATAAAACATGTATACATGTCTTGGTTCATATCCAGATTTCTTTGCATGAGCACATTTATACCGAACAATGCTTCCCTGGTTCCCGTGCCGTTTCTAAAGCCTAACTGACTATCACTAATTTCATCATCCAGCTTTCTGTAAATTCTGTTGTGGACTATTCGTAGAAATACTTTCAAAACATGGCTCATTAATGCAATTGTACGGTGTTCTGAGCATTCTTTTGCATTTTGCTTTTTGGGAATAATTACGAATGTGGATACTAACCACTCCTTTGGTAAAATACCTGTTTGATAAATATGATCATAAAGTTCTACTAGAATGTCTATCATTTCATCATCGATCAGTTTAAGAAACTCAATCGGGATTTCATCCGGACCTGTGGCCTTTTTCCCTTTTGTCTGTTTTAATGCGTATTGAACTTCCTGTTTTAAAATTTTTGGTCCCGATTCACCAGAGTCCTCATCTATGATTTGTTGTCTGTCATCCCCGAATAGTTCTTTTATGTATTCTGTCCATCTGTTTAGTTGTTGTTTTGTATCTGTGAGAATGTTACCATTCGAGTCTTTTATAACATGTATATTATTTTGTTTTCCCGACGTCATTTCCTTCACTTTCCGATGAATATTGAAACTATCATATTTCTTTTCATATTCTTCTATTTCGTGACACTGTTCAGTTAGCCATCTTTCTTTTGCTGTTATTATGTCTTTTCTAATCCTGCTGTTTAAGGATTTGTATTTGCTAGTGTTTATGTTTTTATATTTTCTTCTTTCATTCATGAGAGTTAGTATTTCGTCTGTCATCCACATATGTCTTTTCTTTGGTATTGGTCCACGTATTTCTTCTCCCGCTTCTTTTAAAGCTTGTTGAACCTCTCTCCAATTTTCATTTACGTCTTTAGAGTTGGTGTTTTTTGACTTGATGGGTTTAAGATTATCATTGATTTTCTGTCTAACTCTTTGTTCTATCTGAGTATCTTTTAATCTTGTCACATCGAATTCTTTTCTAATCTTTTTGTTTTTTAACTTTTTTAATTTTGCTTCCATTTCGACAATAATAGGGACGTGATCCGAGTATATATCGGCACCTGGATACGTTTTTGCTGATTTTATTGAATTTTTAAACCTATTAATTTATATATACAAAGAAAAATAGTTTAATTGATTAATGTTTTGTGTGTTGGAGAACAATTTTCTACATAAAAAAAATTATTTAAAAAAATTGTGGCTTATTCCCAATAAAAATAGTAAATTGTGTTACGACGTCATAGGAAAATAGCTTCAGTAAAAAGATTAAAAAATAAATATATAGTGCGTCTAGAAAGTATCCGGAATTTTATATTTTTCCTAATTTTAATAGATTTCATTCCAACCATTTTAAGACAAAGTAATGCATCAAGTAGGTTGTGCCGATACTAGGTTCAGAACAAAATCGCATGACAACACCATCTGTCAAATGTTGTTTTTAAACAGACTTAACATTTGGGAAATTATGTCGCAAGTAGAAAAAAGAAAAGTAATGTAATATTTATATAAACGAAACGTTAAAAAATTAGTGCAATTGACTGAACTCGGAAAAAGTGCAGTGTATAAGACAATAAAGAGAATAAAAATGGCATAGATATGAAACATAGAACATCTGCATAAGATTCCCAGAAACAATTTAAATGATTTAATAATGTCTTTATAGCTGATGAAAGTTTAATAATAAAGAAGGTTTAATTCGGTCGGTTTTATAGACCTGGAACACCACTACCGAAAATTATGACCTGGACCTAGTTTCGGGTGTACCTGGACTTTTAGTTAAGTGTTTAGATTTAAATGGAGGTTGTATAAATGAATGAGATGAATTATTTGTTGAAATTTTATATTTCAAGTGATAGAAATAAATACCGTTAAAATTATAATTCTGCTTTCTTTTTTCAGGATACTTTCTAGACGGACTGTATATTAATCAATGATCCTAGAGGCGTTTTATTGAATACATAGCCAAATTTTGGCTAATTCTTTTTCCCTTCTTAAAAAAAAACAATTATAATATATTTCTTATTGAATTAAATTTAAATGTAACAGTAATTAATCATCCAGTATATGAATAACTTTATATACCACTAATTTCTTGGCTATACTCTTATCCTGGCAACTGCAGTTTTAAACCTCTTAAATATGACGGTATTGCAGAGAATTTACGTGTTCCAATTTCACCAATTACCAACGTGTAATTTGTGAGAGACAGGTTAACATCTTGTAGTATCGCAATTAGGCTCTTGCACGAATATTGTACTTTAGACGTGATTATATGTCAGTCGAGCGTTTTAAGGAGCACTATTTTTTCTTTTTAATTGTCAGAACTGGTTTGAATTGACTTAATTATTTCAGCACTAGGCAACTGCTTAATATTTGTGGAAATAAGTAAGTAATGTTTATGTACGAACAGATAACTGCTTGTTTAGTAGTCTTCTGGTTAGAAAATATAATATAAATGCCTAAAAAACTTGAATCATGAAAAAGAGTCATTATTAGAGAGTCATCATTAGTCCAGAGAAATCCAAATCAAAATAAGAAAAAGAGCAGGAAATCTTAGATCTGAAGACACCCAGAATAATCTGACGACTGACCAATGCATACAAAAAATTAAAAGTAAATGGGACAATATGGAAGTGGAAGCAAAACCTTGCGAAAATGGACGAAGAACTAGCAACAAATATAAATATAACTCAGATAGAGGTAACAAATTTAGCAAATAAGGACAATATTAGTTTTTATAAATGCGTGATGAGTACAGGAAAAAAAAACAATCAAAAATATATCAATCAAAATGTCCAATGATCAGAGAACAAAAAAGAAAAATACAAAAAATTTGGTTTCAAGAGCGGATTGGGTACACGTGAAGCAGCATTATGCTTGAATACGCTTGTACAAAACTGCATGGATCAACGAAAAGATATAGTCATAACATTCCTCGATTATGAAAAAGCGTTTGACACCTTAAAACATGAACTACGCAATGATAAAAATGCTACACAACGCTAACTTTGACGAGAAAGATATAAGAGTTATCCAGAATCTCTATTGAAATCAAAAAGCACAAGTGAGACTGAACAAATCAACAAACACAGAAGAATTTAAAATTTTAAGATGGGTGTGACAGGGTTGTATTTTTTC